AAGACAGAATCTAACTTCCATAATGATGCAAAAGATAAAACTAAGCAGTGGACTCTCACAAAATAAGATGAATAAAACACTGCAATACTTATCAGTTATCTCAATAAATGTTAACGGCTTGAATTCCCCACTGAAGAGGCATAGATTGGCTGACTGAATTAAAAAACACAAGCCATCCATATACTGTCTGCAGGAAACATACCTAGCTCCAAAAGACAAATTAAAACTCCAAGTTAAGGATTGGAAGACAATTTTTCAGGCAAACAGAATTTAGAAGAAAAGAGGAGTTGCAATCTTATTTTCAGATACATGTAGATTTAAAGCAACTTACGTCAAAAAAGACAAAGATGGTCACTTTATATTGGTCAAAGGAAAAATACAAGAAGACATTTCAATTCTAAATATTTATGCACCCAACTTAAATGCTCCCAAATTCTTGAAACAGACCTTACTCAGTCTAAGCAATATGATATCCTATAACACCATAAGAACATAGGACTTTAACACTCCTCTTATGGAGCTGGACAGACCCTCTGAACAGAAATTAAACAAAGATATAAGGGACTTAAATGAGACCCTAGAACAATTGTGCTTGATAGACACATATAGAACACTCCATCCCAAAGATAAAGAATATACATTCTTTTCATCGGCCATGGAACATTCTCCAAAATTGATCATATCCTAGGACATAAAACAAACCTCAACAGAATCAAAAGAACTGAAATTTTACCTTATATCTTCTCAGACTACAAGGCACTAACAGTGGAACTCAACTCCAAAAAAATGTTCAACTCCACACAAAGGCATAGAAATTAAACAACCTTCTGTTGAATGACAGTTGGGTGCAGGAAGAAATAAAAGAGGAAATCATTAACTTCCTTGAGCATAACAACAATGAAGACACAAGCTACCAAAACCTGTGGATACTGCAAAAGCAGTTCTGAGAGGAAAATTTATCGCTTTAGATGCCTACATTCAAAAAACATAAAGAGCACATCAACAAAGTCACAAGCCATCTTATGGAATTGGAAAAAGAAGAACAATCTAAGCCTAAACCCAGCAGAAGAAATATCCAAAATTAAATCAGAGATCAATGAGATTGAAAACAAAAGAATCATTCAGAAAATTAATGAAACAAGAAGTTGCTTTTTGAAAATATAAATAAAATAGATAAACCTTTGGCCAGACTAACTAGAAATAGAAAAGTAAAATTTCTAGTAAAATCTCTAGTAACCTCAATTAGAAACGATAAAGGGGGATGGCGCCTGTGGCTCAGGGAGTAGGGCACCAGCCCCATATGCCAAGGGTTCAAGCCCTGGCCAAACTGAGGGAAGGAGGGAGGGAGGAAGGAAGGAAGGAAGGAAATGATAAAGGAGAAATAACAACTGATGCCACAGAGATACAAGAGATCATCTCTGAATACTAACCAGAAACGCATGCCCCAAAATTTGGACAATGTGAAGGAAATGGATCAATATTTGGAATCACACCCTCTCCCTAGACTTAGCCAGGAAGAAACAGAGCTCCTGAACAGGACAATTTCAAGCACTCAGATTAAAGAAACAATAAAAAATCTTCCAACAAAAAAATGCCCTGGTCTGGATGGCTTCATCTGCTTCCAGATGGCAGAATTCTATCAAACCTACAAGGAAGAGCTTATTCCCATACTGCAGAAATTATTCCCAAAAACTGAGGAGAATGGAAACTTCCCCAACACGTTCTATGAAGCAAACGTCACCCTGATACCAAAACTAGGGAAAGACCCAATAAAAAGGAGTATTTGAGACCAATTTCACTAATGAATATAGACACAAAAATTCTCAATAAAATCCTGGTCAATAGATTACAGCTTATCATTAAAAAAGTCATACATCATGATCGAGTAGGTTTCACCCCAGGGATGCAAGGCTGGTTTAACATACACAAGTCCATAAACGTTATCCACCGTATTAACAGAAGCAAAAACAAAAACCATATGATCCTCTCAATACGAAAAAGCATTTGATAAAATCTAGCATCCTTTTCTAATTAGAACACTGAAGAGTATAGGCATACATGGCTCATTTCTTAAACTGATCAAAGCTATCTATGACAAACCCACAGCTAATATTTTACTGAATGAAGTAAAATTAAAAGCTTTTCCTCTTAGACCTGGAACTAGAAAAGGTTGTCTTCTGTCACCATTACTATTCAACATAGTGCTGGAAGTTCTAGCCAATACTATTAGGCAAAACAAGGAAATAAAGGGCATCCAAATGGGAGCAGAACAGATCAAACTCTCCTTCTTTGCTGAAGATATGATCTTATACTTAGAGAACCCCACAGACTCAACCACAAGACTCCTGGAAGTCATCAAAAAATACAATAATGTCTCAGGATATAAAATCAACGGCCACAAGTCAGTAGCCTTTGCATACCGCAATAACAGTCAAGATAAGAGGCTAATTAAGGACAAAACTGCCTTCACCATAGCTTCAAAGAAAATGAAATACCTAGGAATATACCTAAAAAAAGAGGTGAAGGACCTCTATAATTAAAAGTATGAAATCCTAAGAAAGGAAATAGCAGAGGATATTAACGAATGGAAGAACATACTATGCTCATGGCTGGGAAGAATCAACATTGTTACAAAGTCTATACTTCCCAAAGCAATCTATCGATTCAATGCCATCCCTATTAAAATACCAACATTGTATTTTCAAGACTTAAAAAAAATGATTCTGCATTTTGTATGGAACCAGAAAAGGCCCCATATAGCTAAGGCAGTTCTTAGTAATAAAAACAAAGACAGGGGCACCACCATACCAGATTTTAGGCTGTACTACAAAGCCATAGTGGTCAAGATAGCATGGTACTAGCACAAAGATAGAGATATAGACATTAGGAATCGAATAGGAAATCAGGAAATGAAACTAACATCTTACAACTACCTAATCTTTGATAAACCAAACAAGAATATACCTTGGGGGAAAGACTCCCTATTCAATAAAGGGTCCTGGAAGAACTGGATGTAAAAGACTGAAACTAGACCTGCACCTCACAAAAATTAATTCAAGATGGACAAAGGACTTAAATTTAAGGCATTAAACAATAAAAATCCTCAATGAAAGTATAGGAAAAACAATGGAAGACATCAGCCTGGGGAAAGACTTTATGAAGAAGACTCCCATGGCAATTGCAACAATAAAAATAAACAAATTGGACTTAAGTAAACTGAAAAGCTTCTGTACAGCTAAGGAGACAACAATCAAAGCAAATAGACAATCTACACAATGGGAAAGGATATCTGCATATTTTAAATCAGACAAAAGCTTGATAACTAGGCTCTATAGATAACTCAAATGAATCCACATGAAAAAAGCCAACAATCCCATATATCAATGGGCAAGAGACATAAATAGAAACTTCTCTAAAGAAGATAGACAAATGGCTAACAAACATATGAAAAAATGCTCATCATCCCTAATTATTAGAGAAATGCAAACCAAAACCACCCTGATGATACCACCTAACCCCAGCCAGAATGGCCCACATCACAAAATCTCAAAACTGCAGATGCTGGCGGGACTGCAAACTAATATAACCTTTTTGGAAGGAAGTATGGAGAACCCTCAAAGTACTCAAGCTAGACCTCCCATTTGATCCTGTAGTCCCATTACTGGGCATCTACCCAGAAGGAAAAAAATCCTTTTACCATAAGGACACTTGCACTAGATTGTTTATTACAGTTCAATTTACAATCACCAAAATGTGGAAACAACCTAAATGCCCACCAACCCAGGAATGGATTAACAAGCTGTGGTATATGTACACCATGGAATACTATTCAGCCATTAAAAAAAATGGAGACTTTACAGCCTTTGTATTAATCTGGATGGAAGTGGAACACATTATTCTTAGTAAAGCATCACGAGAATGGAGAAACATGAATCCTATGTACTCAATTTTGATATGAGGACAATTAGTGACACGGTGAGTGTGGGGAAAGGGGAGAGCAGAGAAAGAAAGAAGGAGGGAGGAGTCGGGGAAAGAAGATCAGAGAGAGGGAAGGAGGGAAGGGGTGAGATCTTGGTGTGTGCTATACCTTTTGGAGGCAAGACATGATTGTAAGAGGGGCTTTACCTAACAAATGCAATCAATGTAACCTGGTTTCTTGCACCCTCCCCAACAATAAAAAAAAAAAAATCTTATTCATACAGAGACCCCAGGCTTGAGTCTAAACCAGTGGCTGCATTTTGGCTGGAAAATGCATGGTCTGCATGAGTTTTCACCTGAGGTCCATATGCTACTTTGGTGATTCCCTGAAGTATTTCTGCTGTGCATTCGCCACACTGGTGCCACACACAGCAGAGTGGAGCAGTACGACTCTGTGCTGGTGTGGCCTGAACCCAAAGCAGACCTTTTCTTTCCCATGCTGCAATCTTTTGTACCCACTGGGACACTGTGCCCAAGTCCCAATGCCATCATGGTACACGCAGCAGAATCTCAATGCTACTCTGGTTATGACAAGGCACTTTATACAATACCTTTTAATACCTAAATAGGATCAGGACAGGCTTTGGTCCTGGGGGACAAAAAGGGAAAAGCAATATGTATATTTTGCTATTTCCTTGGATTACTATTCCAACTGAATATTTGACGGAGGAAGGAAGGTGAGAGAGAGAAGGAAAGTTAAGGCATAATCACTATTTCCCAGCAAGATAAAAACAACTCCTCTCTGCACTCCCACTTCCCCTCCCTCCACCTGGAAGCATACAGCATAACACTGGGAGCTGGAGGAAGGAGCCGTTGCTGAATGGTCTGTCTCCATCATTGCGAGGTGTCCAGTGGCTGCTGGGAAGAATCCAGGGTAGCCAGATGACAGAGCAGAAGGCACAGCATCAGGACTGTCAACCTTCTTCACAACAACTTAGCACACTCTGTAGCCGACCAGGTAGGTGGAATAGAGGTAGAGATGAGAGTATGGGTACACCATTAAGCCCGAAACATCTACTTACAGGCTCCACAAACTCAAACATCTTTCTCTCTTGGACTTCCTGCACCTTGAAGACATATTCCAGGGATACTTCATAGAAATGCTGCCGGACCAGGTCCACTTGGCTGTCTGCCTACAAACAAGATGGAATTTAAGAGAAAAATCAAGTCACTACCCCAGGAGAACATTCAGTAAGCAGGCCAGAAAATAATCTCTGCATATGATTTTTAAAAACAAATCAAATAGCATGACACAGGAAGAAGAACAATAACTATAATAACCATTTCACTATGAATATCAAAACATATACAGTAGGTATTTACATTGTACACCTAAAATCCATATAATTTTTCAAAAGACAAAGACCAAAAAAGCCCTCAAAGAGAACTATAGGTTAAAAAGGCAAAGGGCTATCAGGAATTCAAACAACTAAACAGCAAAACGTGGTCTGAGAATATCACAAGAATGGAAAAACAAGCATTGCATGCACTCAATACTAACACTCAATACCAAGTTGAAACTAGTAGGTTAACAACTACCTGCTTCCATGAGAGAAAAACTCAAGTAAATTCAAGAAAGGGGAAGGGAAGAAGAGGGGTCGGCCGGTATCCACCCAAGGGGAACAATGCACAGGTATATGGCACATATCCTGGGTGAAGGAAACGCCTGCAACTCAGAATTTACCTTACAAATGCAAGCAACGTAACAAGCAGGGTAACTGTGTGCACCCTCGTATTAATCTGAAAATTTAAAAACATAAGCAGGGGATCCAAATAGACACGTCTCAAAAGAAGACATATAAATGGACACAGGTATATGAAAAAATGCCCAACATCAGGGAAATGCAAATCAAAATCACAATGAGGTATCATCTTAACCCGTCAGAATGACTATTACAGAAAGTATAAAAAATAACAAATGCCGGAAAAGATGTAGAGAAAAGAGAACTGTTACACAGTGTGAAGGAAATGTAAATTAGTGCAGCCATTAGGGAAAACAGTATGGAGGATGCTTGAAAAACTAAAAATAGAACTACCATATGATCCAGCAATCCTACTGCTGGGCATATATCCTAAACAAAGGAAATGAGAATATCAAAGGGCGACCTGTACCCATCTGTTTATGGCAGCACCATGGCATTCACAATAGCCAAGATATAATGCATAAAATCAATGGACAACAAGATAAAGAAAATGTGGTATATATACACAAGGAAATACTATTTGGTCATTAAAATAGAATGAAATTCTGTCACTTGTAGCAACATAGATGGAACTGGAGGTCATTATACTAAGTGAAAAAAGCCAGGCACAGAAAGACAAATATCACATGTTCTCGCTCATATGTGGAAGCTGAAACTGTGCAAGTAGAGAACAGAATGAGTTACCATAGGCTGGGAAGGGGGCATAAGGGGGGTCAAGAGAGGTCAGTGAACAGGTACAAAAATACAGTTTCGGACAGAAGGAATAAGTTTCAGTGTTTGATAACACTGTAGGGCGACTATAGTTAACAGCAATATATTGACTATTCCAAAATAGCTAGAAGAGAAAATGCGAAATGTTCCTGACACAAAGAAATGATAAATATTTGAGGTGATTGATATCCTAAATACACTGAGATTTGATTAGTATACATTATAGACATGTATCCAAATGTCACGTGTACTACAATTATATGTACAATTATGTTATCAATTTTTTTAAAAAGTAAATGAGTGAGACAAATGGACATGATGTTAGCCCAAATAGTTTCTGTCACAAGATTAAAATTAATCAGATCCTTAGAACAAACAAAAAATAAATAATAATGATAACGGTTAGCTGAGCACTACTTTGTGCCAGGAACCATGCCTATAGCTGCATAGACATTACCTTATTTAATCCTCAATAACTTCCTGTAAAGATGTTAGATTTCTCCCTAACTTAACAGGAGGAAAATGAAGTCCACTACTATTAAAGAACTTGACGTGTCATGCAGCTAGTACACAGCAGAGCTAGGATTTCTGTCCTGGTGAATCCGCCTCTAAGACCCTTGGATCATCCTTAAACCACCAGGCTCTACCACCTCCCAGGACCGTGGGGCACATTATTTTAAATAGGTTATCAGGGGAATCTCTCTCTTATCTCCCAATGTGTTTGTTTCCTTATCGCTATGTAAAATTTTTATTTAGTCCTTTCTTTTCTTGTGTATTGCCTACAGAATATAAAGTCAGTGAGAACAAAGACCTTGTCTACTTTTTCCACTTTTCTATCCCAGTGCCCAGAATAGCACCTGGTCGATAGTAAGTGTTTAATAGATGCTTGTAAAATGAGTAAATTGATCTTTGTGTGGCCATCAGTCAGCACCAAAGGCATGCCCCTGCAGTGTCCCAACACCTAGGAAAAAATCCATCTTCAAAGGAAAAAGAAGGAAAAGATCTTAGGTAAAACAGTATGTTTCACTAACTCTGGGTACAGAATTTATCACATCCTTAGATTCCCTGCAATGAAATTGTAAGTCAGGATTCCCTTCCACCTGGAAGACCAGGCAAGAGAGTTTCCTTGACTATCACTTGAAAAGCTGCAAATCACTCTGTGCTTCTTGGAAGAGACATTCTTCTTAATTGTAAGTTCTCTAATGGTGGATCTTTCATTTCAGTCTCCACAGAACACCCAGTGCCTTGGACAGACTTTCACAGAAGCATCCAATGAATATTTGTCGAACAAATTATTTTTATGCGAGCTTTTTTTTTTGGTCATTGAAGAAGTCATTGATTTTTTTTAAATCGTCCACTAGATGGCAGTATCATTCCACATCAAGCCCTGTGATTTCCACCTCCAGGGATTGAAAGATGGGTTTGAATTTAAAAGCATTCTATTCTGAGCCCCCAAATCAGGTAACAATTCTGGATAAACAAAGGTAGCAGATTTCACCAAAGATGTATCAGGTGTTTAATAATAATGTTCATAAAAGTTGATTTTTTAATAAATGTGAAGAAAATCTTTACTAATTAGCTGAAACACCATGAGCAAATCACTTGACCTCTGCAAGGAGCTCAGTCCCTTCAAATGTAATTCACGGAGGTTGGACTGGATAATCCAAGGTCCCTCCTCTCTCCAATTCCATTTGTTTGACATAGGTGCTGAATAACAATGGCTGGCAGGCAACAGAGCCCCACCACTCCTCCTGTGACTGACAAGTAGAAGCCACCTGGGCTAAGGAAAAAGGGCCCCATAGCCAGGTGCCAGGGTTGACTAGCTACCAGAAAGCTATTGAACATCTCCGAGCCTCAGTTTCCTCATGTGTAAAATAGATGGCCATTGTGAGGATTCATGTAAAGTGCTTGACACTATGCCTGGGGCATAAATATGCATTCAGCTTATGCCTGCTGCTATTACTGGTCTACAGTGATTCGTGGCAGGAATAGTAGTATCACTACTGTTGATGTTATCAGGTTTTATCCCATTCGATTTAGTTCAGGTACAACTAAAAAGCAATGCTTGAGAATTGACCCAAACAGATCAGGACTTGTGAGAAAGACCTGCAGCCCAATCCTCATCCTCACAGCACTCAGAAATCTGAATCCCTAAAAGACAAGAACACAGAGGACTGAAACAGACAGCATGAAAAAACACCCACTGAGATACATAACTGGCAGGTCAGGAAGAGTGACATCCAATTTGGGAACAGGGAATGGCCGAACAGTCCAGCAGCACAGTGATGATAATACTCCCAATTTGTATAATTACAGCTTGCCTTCTTATTCATGACATACGCTGGACACATACTTCATGAGTGTTTTAGAAATAAAGGAAACAATGCTCAGAAAATCTAAGTAACTTGCCCCAGACAACACGGTAAATACATGGCAGAAGAGATCTTGAAGCAAGATCCCCCCTTTGCCAGCCCACTGTTTGGTCTCAACACTGTGACACCTCAGAGGGAGACGGCATCAGGATGGCCCTAAAAGAAAACACTAGACTCATCCGAGACCAAGTCAGCAATATCTGGGACAGAGAAAATCGACCTGGTGGAGAATCACCCTTACTCTGGAGACTGCCATACCTACAGGAAGACTGTGCTATGGGCCTCCCAGGATCAGCAGGTGTTCAAACAACCACACACTTGCTACCTGAATAGCTGCACTAATGTACCTGGTCATCTAATCCATCATTTATAACTGCTTAGAAACCGCAGGACTGGGCAGATCTAGCCACTGTGAGCAGTAGCCAAAAAGGCTTCCCTTAAATTGGGCACAGTGGCTCACGCCTGTAATCTTAGCACTCTGAATGGCTGAGGTGGGTAGATTGCCTGAGCTCAGGAGTTCAAGACCAGCTTGAGCCAGAGCCAGATTTCATCTTTAAAAAAACAGCCAGGCATTGTGGCAGGCACCAGTAGTCCTAGCACTTGAGAAGCTAAGGCAAGAGAATTCCTTAAGCCCAAGAGTTTAAGGTTGCTGTGAGCTGTGATGCCATAGCACTCTTACCAAGGGAGACAAAGTAAGACTCTGTCTCAAAAAAATAAATAAATAAATAAAAACACTTCCCTTAAGTATAAATGTTTTCAAATCCTAAATGCCAACCGATGCTGTTAGAATGATAACTAAGAAGTGAGGATATCAGGATAGATTTTAAATGGAGTTACATGGCCATCATGGATAATCTACATGTTTTGGGGATATCTTCTACCCTGTGTGGAGCTGGGTTAGCAACTCCCAACTTTATATTGTTGGAGCTCAGAAAACAATACTCCAAATTAAGGCCTCAGAAGCAGAAGCTTTTTCTCCGGCCTTCTCCTACCCATCTGTCTCTAACTCCTGTTCTGCCCCTGATACTAATCATAGAAACTAGATTCACTTTTCCCCAAGAAGGGTCACAGAAAACAGAACCCCTTTTCCCAAAGCCAGCCATAAAACCTGAAAATGTTAGCCTAACTGTCCCTCTGTCTTTCTGTGTAAAATATGGCCATAAACCATTTGACCTACTTTGTTTGACCGTAGGTCTTGAGACCCGCCCCTCCCACCTCTAGAGTGTCCTGCGTCATACTCAGAAGGAAGGAATACATGCTCAGAAAGGCCAAACAAGACTCTAGACAGGTCTAGCTGGGCTTCTCCACTCAGTCTATTAACACTAGATCATACCCTTTTTATTCAATCATAGTTCTATGCAGCTATCCATTCTTTGTTGAACTTAAGCCTAAAATTAACAGTTTCCCCAATATCTTGGGGGCCTTCACTCCCATGTATACACATTGAATAAATCTATATGCCTTTTCTCTACTTAATCTGCCTTTTCCAAGTTGGTTTTTCTGGCAAAGCTTCAAGAGGAACTAGGGGAACTTTCACCTTGACTCTGACCATATATCCCTTGAAAATAAGAATTTATTTCGTTTTCTCAGTTACACTTGACAAGATCTGCCTAATAGCTCTGCTGTTTCAAGAATCACTTCCTCTGCTTTTGCTTCTTTTTCCCTACTCTGACACAAGATCTTCAAGAAAAAGTTAGTGTTTTCTACTTTATACAGCTCACACCAAATAGTCAATTCCTATCTGTAGGCTATTCCAGAATAGATCTGCAAACCCAATTATCAACCCTTGCTGTTGCTGTAGTTGTCATCATTACTGAATCATCAGTCCTCATCACCAAAGAATTGGATTAAATACTCATTTCAAAGCAGTGTTCTGAGAACACCATGTTCCTCCCCACAATGTCTAACAAATTGTGGTCGGAGGGGGGAGACCGGATTCCACCATCTCCTGAGCTCCCTTCATCTTTCAACATTTGACCCTACCATCCTCAGATAAACATTTACCTAAGAGAAATACTGGCATGGTATCTGCTCAAAAAGACGCAAAATTTAAGAATGAGGGCTAGCCCGGAAACCACAGCCTCTCTTTGGCATGTACCATGAGAAAGGTCAAGCCCATTTAATAAGATGACATTCGTGAAGCCAAATTGAAGCCTCCATTAGGAAACTGCCCTGTCTTCCAGAAACAAACTCCCCTACCATGCAAGCCTTCATGAACTAAATAAAAATAGTCACAACCCCATGACTACAAAGCTGTCTTGTCTTTCCAAGGGGCTACTTTTTTAAAACCCCATGCAAATCCAGAAAAACAAAGAGCAGGTGGAAGAATTTATTTTCCTGAAACAAGGTTACCAAAGTGTAAAACATGTGTGTCAGTAAAGCAAGGAAGAAAGCAAAGCAAAGGAAAATTAATATCAAGCACTGTTTGAAATAATGAAAAAAATCAATACTAAGGAAGGCTGACCAAGGCATTTCAGATGCTAACATTTCAAATCACAGATAAGAGGCAGAAAGGCAAAGGGTAAAGCGACAGAGTGCAGAATGAAGGCCAAGGGTGAGAGAAACAGGATGAGACGTCAGTTTGAAATGAAGAAGCACAGTCTAGCAATTAGGACTGCTCAACAAGGAGGCAGCAGTGTTGGTCAATAGTATCTTACACTCTTGACAGACTGGAAAGCCACAAAGGCAGGGCAAGAAGGAAGGATAGGAAGACACAAAGGTGATCCAGCATCAGGGCTCAGATCAAGCTCCTGGGTTCCAGGGTCTTTTCTAACCCCAAGACTTTCTGGTACAGAGCAACCAGGACACATCCAGAGCACCATGTAAAAAGTCAACACTTTACTCAGGACACTGGTGAAGTTTCTTACCTCCTGCAGCTGAGATTCTTTCTTTTTAGAAGATAAATTCAAGTGTTTCTCTAAGATGCCACAATACTTCTCTGTCTCTTTGTCATACTTCTTTTTGGCTTCCTGGCAAAAAAAGAGGAGAGGAGAAAAAGAATAAAATGTTGAAGGAATAAAAGCATCACCCACCTCTCAAGATCTTTCTGCCGGTCTTCCCAGCTCAGAGCACACAGCACAGCAGTGACTCGGGGCCTACTTTTCAGACATTGCCCACTAAACCACACAACCACCCTCAACAGCCTCACGGGGTTCAGCATCTATCACAGAGGCACTAGCACAATGCCAGAATAGGGCGCAAATACCAGTATTTAGTAGTGGCAAAGACAGGACTCCCCCTCTAAGATCTTCAATTGTGAATCTGACTCAAAGTCAGAAGGGGGAGGTCCCCTGTGAAGCTAATACCAAAGAAAGAAGAGCTACTTCACAGCTTGAATGAGACAAGTCTGGACCAAAGCTAGATCCAGCCTTCATAGTATTCAAAAGCCCTTATTTATAGGCATAATATCACGTATGAGTCTTTAAGCTATAGAATAATTGAAAAAAAAAGGTTTTTTTCTTTGTTTTTTTGTGGGTTTTTTTTTTTTTTTTT